ACTCGCGCCCGTAAAACATTCTCTTACATTGCTCGCATCGAATTAATTCTACTTCTTCTGTTTCGCACGACGGCACACCGCGACAACGCGGACATTTATGCGAGCATCGATGAACTCCTCGTTCGGGACGATAAGGCAGGTTGCAAGGAATGCCAGTATCCCCTGCTCCCCGCCGCCGCTCTTAAATTTAAAATCGGGCAATAGTGACGCGAACCCTCGCAATAAAGAATATTTAAACATAGCAAGAATTCGCGTCCGAGAGAGGCGAGCAACGCACTACCGTCGTACAACGGTTTTCCGCCTTTCGCGAAAGTAGACGAGGCGTAAACAATTATAGCTAACCCCTTCCCGGCAAGGTACCGTTGAAATCGCTCAATTTCTCCAATACCACAGCCCTCCTCTGGAATTGTGACGCCTGTTCTCTCCATCAACTCCTGTGCCCATTGGCGTTGTAAGAAGGAGTTCGAACGTCTCATTGCATTCCATCGCTCATGTAGCTCGCCCGTGCGGGTGTTACCTCGTTCGAGGTATACCCGAGCGGCAACGAGTGAGCGAGGGAAACAGAGGTTGTCGCTATTCGTTATTGAAAGAATCGAGCGTTTCTCGATTCCTTCCGCGCCCAAAGGACGGCCTCCTTTGCCCGACGGAGAGTGGACGCTGCATACGCGTATCGTAAACGACGTAGCGATGTCTATCCCTCCGTTACTTTGCGCAACCGAACTCACGAGAGACCAAATATTCTCGTGAGTCAAGTCACGCGCAGGACGAAAAGAAAGACCCGCTGCACCGTTGGTCAAAGTCGGGGAGTCAAACCACACCCCAACGTAATCATTCGGCTCCGATAAATTTGTCGCGTATTTGTGAATTTATCGAAATGCACCCTCCACTCATTCTACTATTTCAGCACCAGGCTGAATTTCACGGATCTCAAATGTCGTCTCTCTCCCTATTACCCCGAATTTTTTAAATCTATGCGCGGTTTTCGTCCGTAATACAATAAATATATAATAATTATTATTTTCACCGATCTGTTCGCTTCTCTCGTCATCGGCAGCACTGTCGGGGATGGCGGGAGTAGCACTGCCGGTGTAACGCTCGGCGGTGATGTTGTCGCTGTTGCTTCTCTCGGCGGCGCTGTCGGGGGTGGTGGGAGTAGCACTGCTGCTGCCGGTGTAACGCTCGACGGTGTCGTCGCTGCGCTCGTTGTTGGTGCCGTCCTGTTTACTATTTTCTTGCGCAACATTTACAGTTCCGTCCCCGTATTGCACTGTAAATACAAAAGCTTAATACAAAAATTCTCAATATATTAACAAACAATTATCAAACGACGGTAAATCAATTATTGATACATTAGACAGACGCTTCAATTACGTTTGATTAAATCCATACATATACGTGTTGTATATAAAGTGTTGTAAATATATTGTTATAGAAATAAATATATTGTTATAGAAATAAAAATTTAAATCAAAGTTAATGAAAAATATACTGAGTGTGTGACTTTTCTTATCGCGTCAATTTCTACCGCGTAACATAAAAAAAACGCGTTTGGACATGCACAATATTAATGAAACTTAGTTATGCTCGATATTAATTTATTTTTATGTAAAATTTCTTAGCGTAATTTTAAGTTTATATAGGGAAATTAAATAAGTAGGACAACGAGTATATATATTAAACGTATATTTATTCAATTAATTGTAAATGAAGCGTCTACCTAATTTATATCGCTAATTGGTTCTTTTATTTCTTTTTTTTTTATTATATCACTTATATATATATTACATAACTGTACATTTATATATTACAATTATATAAAATACTATTCTAACTATTCTAACCTTCTCCCTCCGATATTTCTACAATAGAATCTTCCGTTTCCGAAATAATCACGGGGCGTTTGTCTTCTCCATCGTCATCGGTGTCGTCGTCGTTCTCGTCGTCGTTGATGTCGTCGGCATCCTCGTCATCATCGTAGTCGTCGTCGTCGTCGTCGTTCTCGTCGTCGGCGTCGTTGTTGTCGTCGGCATCCTCGTCATCATCGTTGTCGTAGTCGTCGTCGTCGTCGTCGTCGTCGTCATCGTCGTCATCGTTCTCGTCGGCGACGCCGTTGTTGTTGTCATTGTTGTCGGCAATGATCTCGTTTTCGATTTCCGACAAGAGACGGACTGTTTCCCGCTCGTAGCGCTCGTCTTCTATTTGCGCTTCCAGCCGCCTTCTTCGAAGCTCCTTCACCGCCTATTGACGCTGTTCTTCTTCCGCTTCTTTCTGTTGGAAATGATCAGGTAATATCCCTGGCGGATACCTAACTTCCAGCATTATCTGCACTTCATTATCTGAAAATTAATATATATATATATATAAGTTTATATATAATTTCTTTATATATTTTTTATTACGTTTAACTATTTAGTTAGTTTACTTACCGGAATCAACGGGAGGAGGAGGAAGAGGAGGAGAAAGCTCCGCTTCATCTCTACGGGCTGTTCCTAAAATGTGCAAATCACTAGTTAATATATTTTTATTCTAAAAGTTAGTAATTCTTGTTTTATCGCTTGTAAACTTACGCAGCGGAGGTTCATTTGCTTCTTCTTCTTCTGCCCCCTCTCGTCGGCGACGTTGGGCCGTAGGAGCAGGGCGTTGCATTGGCAACACCCTGGCTACCGCCCGAGGTTCTACACGAGGCGATACGCACGAAACTTGCTGCTGCTGACAAGAAGCAAAACAGGGTGGCGTCGCTGCAGCTTCTTCGTTTGCCGTTACTTCGTTACGATTGTTCACTAAAGCAAATAAACAATAATTAAATAAGTTTTACAAGCGCGAAAATAATATTCTTACGAGAATAGAAACTGTTTTTACTCACCCCTGTTGTCGCGTATCATTCGTGCGATCGACCCTTGCACATCTTTATCCTCGTGTTGGAGCGCCGCACGAAATTCCACTACTTCGCACGCGATGTGCAATAATCGTGAATCTTCATCGAAATATAGCAGCGCGTGCAATGTTGCGAGGTACGTATTGGATATTCGATGCACGATTTGAACAAATCTATGTTGTCTGCGTTTTCCCGTATACGCAGCAACACCCCGAATATGCATTGACATAAATATGTCAAATGTACATTGCATTACATGCGTTGCAATGTCTTTTATTGTTTTTGCCGACATTTTTAATAAAATATATTGGGAAACTGCAAAACTAGTACTTTTAGAACTCTGATACTCACTGCTTACTATTTACTGAAGAACTGGCTGATTCTTGCTCTGAACTCAGACTGTGTTTCGTTCTCTTTGCAACAGATCTTTTATAAGCTGTTTCACCCTCAAAAATTACAAAGTGAGAGTTGAGCTAGGATGTCACAAACTGACAAATCGGCTGTTACTTGGAAATGCTATAAAGTTTTTATTATTTTTTGTGCCTGCGGTAAGAAAAAATCTGTTTTTGCTTTTCCATAAACTTGACATTGATTTTACAACCCTAAAATAAATTTTTCGTAGATGAAAAAATGGTCCTAAGATGTCACGTATTGGCATTGACCGTCTGTTACTCAGACATAATTTTTACTATTTTTTGTCAACAGGATAAGACACATTAGCTCCGTTTCCATAAAAACGGAGATTTATCCCTGATTCGCAATAGACAACCGAAGGACTTGCGATATATGGACCTTTGATTTCTGACTTTGAAATTGCACTATGAGAAACTTTCTCGCAAAATTTTTCGAGATAGACACGTACGTGGAAACACGTTGCAGCAGAATGCGTGATATAAAAACAGCTTATATCAAAGAATTTGGTAAATGTACAGAAAAGGTCACCCCCCTCCGATTTCAATGAGCTTGACATATGTTGTCAAGGACACCTTCCTGAGTAACAATCCGTAAATTTTAGCCGTCGCTCGTTGTTAATAAAAAAGTTATGAACAATTGAAGTTTGAAAACTACGTTTTTATTTTGCGACATTGTGTACAATTTTTTCTTCGTGATTCTTCGAATCTTTTTGTCGGTGTTGTAAACGTGTAGGCAGGGGGGCTGCGCCCCTCTGCACCCCCCTAAACTCTAACCTAACCCTAACCTAACCTAAACTTTTCTTTCTGC